CTTGAGCCACAGCGCCACTTCCAGTTTTCTAGTGGTTTATTGGAGATAAGAGTCTCAAGGGCTTTCCTGCCCAGGCTGGCTTTGAACCACGATCCTCAGATCTCAGCCTCCTGAGTAGCTAGGATTACAGGTGTGAGCTACCAGAGCCCAGCTCAGTGTTTAGTTTTGTTGTTTGTTTTTTGGGTTGGTACTATACCACTTGATCCTCGCTCCCCTTCCTGCTTTTTGCTGGTTAGTTGGAAATAAGAGTGTCATACACTTTTTCTGTGCAGGCTGACTTTGAACTGTGATCCTCAGATCTCAGCCTCTTGAGTGGCTAGGATTATAGGCATGAATTACAGCACCCAATACCTTTCAATATTAACTTTAAATGTTAATGGTCTCACTTGCCAGTCAAAAGATGTAGAACAGCAACAAGCATCTAAAGTCTGGGAGACTTGTGTCTGATTAGCCAGAAGAAAAAGCCAGGAATGGTACTATTGCTCAAGTGGTAGAGTGCTAGCCTTGAGCAAAAGAAGGTCAGGGACAGAACCCAGGCCCTGAGTTCAAGCGCCAGGATGGGCAAAAGGAAAAAAAAAAAGTGGCCATGAAACATGGGCACTGGTGGCTCACGCCTGTAATCCTAGCTATTCAGAAGACTGAGATCTGAGCATCACAGTTCAAATCCAGCCCAGGCAGGAAAGGTGGTGAGACTCTTATTTCCAGTAAGCCACTAGAAAACCAGAAGTGGCGCTGTGGCTCAAGTGGTAGAGCTGGCCTTGAGCTGAAGAGCTGAGGGACAGCGCCCAGGCCCAGAGTTCAGGCCTCACAACTGACAAAAAAAAAAAAAAAATCAAAAAACCCACAAAAACAAAAACATGGCCATGAAGTAAAGAGCAACGACTGGAAGGTTCCAGAACATGAATACCAACAGACTGATGGGAAGTGCCAGCTCACTCAGGAAGAGGAAGAGCCAGACGAACCACATCCATGTGCAAGCTGTCCCTCCGCATCCCTGGGGCTGATTCCTGAGAAGACCAAAACCTGGTCTACTCAGGTCCCTTAGGAATACTGGCATCGCTGGACAGGATGCTGAGTGTGCCATAGCTGTGCATGCAGGATGGGGGGAGAAACGGGAGGAGGG